CACACACACACACACACAATAGCTATCCAGCTCCTCCCCTCAGGTAGCCGCTATCGAACCGTGCACACCAAAACCAGCAAACATTCAAAGAGCTTCTGGCCCTCTTGCCATCAACTCCCGAGACAGTTGAGTCAAATACCATCATGTTTTCCCTGTGTCTATTTTGTTATGTCTTGTGTTGCTTGTTCTGTTTTTGTTTCCACACGCTTCTTGTCAGCCTGGCCTTTGCCTAGGAATCCAAGAACATATCTTTCTGCATTCTGACTCATAGAGACAGCAAAGGCTTTCTTTGCTTGCAGTGCTTGCCTTTTCCACCTGCTTCGGGCCAGTGTCAGTGTTGCCCTCCTCTTCTAAATAGGTCTTCCCTCCTCTGAGTCGTCCTGGACCTCGGCCTCGCGTGTCGGCCTTTGATCACATTTGGAATTCCTGATGAAGCCCGTGGCTGTTGACGATGAGGTTGAGCTGAAAACAAATAGAGGGTGCTTCCAAGCAAACAAGTGGCAGTGAAACGCGGTCGGGATCAGATGGCCATCAACACATGAAATGAATCCCTATGGCGAGCCCGTTAGCATCTAATACAATTCCCACCCAGCGAATGACCTATTTCGTCAGTGTATAGCCAAGCCATGTGTTCTACTTCCGGCCTCATCTGTCAGACACACAAGTTTCTTGACACACCAAATCACACACTCAGGCTGTGTTATGAGTGCCATTTCTAATACGCTGTTGAAACTAAGACGTCAGGCGGCGGGATGGATTCGTGCCTAGTTAACCCATTGCATATTTTTATTTTACTTTTTTTTACTCTGCTGTCTGCAACCAGGTCAGCCATGCAAACTATAATTTTCTGTTTGCTTATCTAGTTGAATGGAGGTTAAATATAAAATCAAAATTTAAAAAGAAATCAATAGAATAACCGCATAACTTTACCTTAAAGTTGGCTTTAATGGGAAATGCCACAGACAGGCTAACGAATAGCATCTACGTGGCTGTTACAACACTACAATGTACATTTCAAATGAACGGTGCAGCAACATTTGACAATTTAATAATACTTGCAGGCATGTGTTCTTTAAACCTTTACAAAAAGCGACTGTAATATACTGCCGCCTAGTGGCCAAGGGGTGCACACCAGAAGAGGGCACAATGAATGAATCAAGATACACAAACTGTTTAATAAATGCACATGGTCAGTTATTCACATTCCCACAAAGATACTTACAATCCTCATTTACGTACTTTTACTTTATTGTATTTTTATTTGGTTTTATTTTACAGTGGTTAACATCTTTCGGGAGCAGTATTTCCTGCAACCTTTCTTGAGCCAAACAACCCGTTTTATTGACAAAAAAAATAAAATGAAAATCTCAGCACGGCAAAACGAAATGTCACATATATTTGATTTCCATTTCAGTCATTATCTGCATCTTCAACCATCCTCATGTTTGGCACGGGAGACTGCAGTGATTTTCTTCTCATTGTGCATCTCGGGCCACGCTCTGTTGAACAAGAGTATGTGCACCGTTGCACTCTGAGACTTTTAAAGGCCCACGAGTCATGACCCACTGCCGCTTTCAAGATGTCCCAGATAGAGCTGCTGCTATCTGATGCAGCTGAAACATCCACACTCGTCTAAAGCGCACAGTGGAGCCGGCATCACGAAACCCGTGAGAGTGAGGCGGTAATCCGACGCGCAGGTTTGAGCACAGGCGGGAAAGTGAAGCCCTCATCAAAGGCCCTACTGGGATTCAACCCTCAGTAAACGGTGATTACAAAAGCCAGAAACCTTGTTTTGGGGCTAGGGGATTGTTTTGTTGCATCTCAACGGAAGAGAAGTGTTTGGAGGTATTTGGGTAGAAATATTTTCTCTGTTTTGTAGAGCTCAAATGGGACACAAAAGCACAGCAATTTGACATGTTGATGACATAAAACCTTTCCATGTTCATTAGGGTGGTGGCTAACATTTAAAATCTAAATAAACAACAACTGAGATTGTGATTAATTACAAGTTATTGCGCCGGTTTTGAAGTTGCATTTCAACTCAATTTTATTTCGAACCCAACAATAGCATTTGCCCCCCAAACAAATCACCATTTTTATGTGACCTATAATTTGTACAACTCACAATCTGTGCTGTACTGTGTGTCATAACTTACGAGAGGTGGAATTCGCGCACTTTTGTCAACGATTTAATTTAGATTTTGGCAAACAAATCGCAAGTCCTAAAATAAGGCATAAAATAGCATGTTTTTGGAAAGTGGGGGGTAGGCGGAGTACCCGATTTAAAATAAATAAATAGGTAAAATAAGACGCATGCGCAAGGAAAACGTGACTTCCACAGAGGAAGGCAAATTTCAAGATTCAAACCCGGAACTTTGTGATATTTCTGCTCACGAAGATACTGTTCTACCTGCAATTAAAATGGTGTCGATACATTTGTTGTGGCCCAGCTCAGCATTTGAATACCCCTTTTCACTTATCGTTGTTTCTGAAATGATGAAAAATATTTTTTTATAAAACGGTCTCCTACAACTAATCTAAGTGGAGCAGAGAAAACATAATAGCACGTCATTGTTTATGAATGTAACCCAATACTTTCTCCTTGTCTACATATGTCTACGTGTGTGCATATGAGTCAAGGATTATGTGGACATAGTAATGATTTCTCCTCAAACAAGAACAATAAACTGTACAAGTAATCTCTATTTTTCTCTTCCTCTGTCTCAGTTTTGCTAAAGCTTGCCATTAAAATAAATCGGATGTTTCAATCATTTAGTAGACAAGAGACAGGAGACATGGCTATGTGCTGCCCCCGTGTGTTCAGCATCTCTCACTGCACCACAAGTGCAGCCTCCGCTCTTCCCGTTCTGGCTTCAAAGGCTGGAACAAAAGCAGGAGGTTCGAGAAAAAAATCGGTGGCTTTATTAGTCTTAATTATGCTATTGTACTCTGTTGTTCATCTTGTCTTCTTCTTTAAGATAGACTTTATCTCTCGCCCTCCCACGCCCCACAGGTCTTTTTTTTATATTGATCCCTCCATGGGGTGAAAATGATGCCATGTTGGTACCTGAGGAGCTGATGATTTCCACCATTTGTCGTATTGTCCAATGACATAATTATTTTTAAATTATCCATCCATCCATTTTCGAATTCCCTTATCCTCACGAGGGCCGCGGGCGTGCTGGAGCCTATCCCAGCTGTCTTCGGGCAGTAGGTGAGGTACACCCTGAACTGGTTGCCAGCCAATTACAGGGCACACATAGATAAACAACCATCCGTGCTAACACTCACACCAAAGGGCAATTTTAGAGTGTTTTTGGAATGTTCCGCCGCGGTGGGAGAGGCAAGGAGGATTGCTACCCAGATATTGACCAGTAAAATTTAAAACTAAAATGATTTTAAAACCACCAGACCAAAAATTGACTGAGATTAAGCTGATCAAAACCAAAAACAACAGACCTAGAAACAGGACAGGACAGGGTGCAACAGATGAAAAATCAGTCGTGTATGACCGTTTTTCTATTGTATGGAAGCGAAAGAAATTTCGGCTGTGTGTTAGAACTTTTAAGTGGTTTGTATGAGAGTATTTCACTTGTCATAAATTGTATTTGAGTGGAAAAAAAAGTTGTCTGTGTGTAGGTGTTTCACTAGTGACTGTGCATGGAAAAACTGTTGTGTGTGACAATGTTTCACTAGTGGATGTAACTGAGAAAAATCAGCTGTGCGTGTGTGACAGCGTTTCAGTACAGCATGTGAGAGTGTTTCACTTGTGTGTATGAAAGCATGAGAGCTTTTCAATTGTGTGTATGAGAACATTTTAATCATGCATGAGAGCGTGTTTAAAAGTGCACATAGACAAACATCAGTAATGTAATCCTCGTTGTTCCATTTATATTTTCAATAATTATATGCTTGTGCACGGGTAACTGTTTTGTTAAGCGCTTTGTTACAGCTGCAGCTGTTGTGAAAGCGCTATATAAATCAGGATGTATTGTATTGTATTGTATATGCTGTCCATGTATGTATACAATAGCAAGAGCTAACTGGGAGAATGTTTCTCTCGTGTATGTGAGCAAAATAATATTCTGTGTTTATAAATGCTTTTCAGTAGTTTGGATGATTGTTTCAGTAGTGTGTGATTGTTTCACTAGTCAATGGAAGTGTGTGGGGGGGGAATCAGCGTGTATGAATGTTTTTAAGTAGAGTGTGAGAGTGTTTTGTTGGGGCATGTCGGTCAAAACGCGTGTGTGTGTGTGTGTGTGTGTGTGTGTGTGTGTGTGTGTGTGTGTGAGAGAGAGAATGAATGAATGAATGAATGAATGGATGGATGGATGAATGAATGAAAACGTTTCAATAGTATATAAGAAATATATAAATAATAATAAAAGGTATTCGTGAATTATGTCCCTGACGGCTCCTCATACCCCTCCTCAACTAGACTGAGGTCAGTTATCCCGCACCTGCGTCACGTCGGACTCAAAAAGCCCGGCGGTGATCCATCTGACTCCGGGTCAGCGAGGCGTCGTGTTCTCCCGACAAGTTCCGCCATTTCCCCCCACTTGAGGCCTGTTCTGTTCTGTGCTTCTTTCCCACCATTGCGCTACATCGGCGACGGCGGCACCGGGAGGCGGAGCGGCGTGAGGCGAGCTGACAGACAGCGGGAAGGCAGGCGGGGATCCGGTGTGCCACAGCGGCATGAGAGCGAGACCCGCGGCGGAAGAGTGCAAACACCGCAACCTGTATGTGTGACGGGCAGCTATGCGGCGCCACGACACATTGTGAACGTGTGTTGTTGTTGTCGCCACATTCCGCCCCCTTATTATAATAGCCGACTAGCTTAGCTCTGATTTCATACCGACCAACGCCGTGGGAGAGGCAAGGAGGGGTCCGGCCAGGTTTCGCAAGGAGGTGGACGTTTTATTCTCCCTCCGCTAGGGCTCGCTGACGACGATAAACGCCAGCAAGTGCTCTTTCCCCCCCATCCCCAGATTTCTTTTTGTGTGTTGTACGGAGTGAGCGAAGATGTCCGGGCAGAGCATTACGGATCGGATAACGGCAGCCCAGCACAGCGTAACGGGATGCGCCGTGTCCAAAACAGTATGCAAGGCCACCACTCACGAAGTAATGGGCCCGAAGAAGAAACATTTAGACTGTAAGTATGCCCACTTGTCTCTTTTGTTATCTATTTAAGAGCCAAGTGTCGAGGCTAAAAGACCCCCACTTAGCTCGGTTATGGCGGCTGTCGGAACGACTAGGCCTCAAAGCCTGAGGCGCCGCTAACACGCTAACGCTATCGCAAGTCACGGAGATGGACGTTGAACATAGCGAATGAAGCTGCGTTCCTTCACTTTTGTGTTTTTCAACCAACTACTGAATCTGACTTTCGAGCTGTCTGGTGTCGACAAATGACGTTTCTTGTCGTCGTAGGTCGGTCTTCGCTCTCAGCCTGTACTTGAAGGCGACTCTACTAGTAATGGTAGTCGAAGTAGTAAACGCGATGCTAACAGTATGAGCCAGGACCCTATTTGACATTTAATGTAATTGTTGCCACATTAACACCTTCACTCTCCGTTCAATAGGTGAATATTCAAACTTAAATAAATTCGCAACAATGAATATTATTTATTTTTGAGGAATAAGTTTGTATCCCATTTTGTGTCGTTGGCAGGTGATAACACCTGTTGTGTTGTTCAGGTGACTCCTCACAGGTGTCATCAATTAAAGAAACGGACTGGTAGGCGACGTGCAGCCCGAGGAAATGTTTTTAGCCAGATGTACAATCATCAAAAGAAAAAGAGATGTGACTTAAGAAAAAAGTGCAGCGCTATTAACATTCTCATCACAAGTGCCCATGTAAACAGTGCAAGGTAGCCCCACATGGAGGTATACTGATTTTTTTAAAAGTAACTTGTTGAAGTGAAGTCAGGCAGAAAGGGAAGGATGGGTTTACGGATGGAAAAAAATTGCGTTAAGACAGATCACCGCCATCACCACTTTTAGGATCTGTCTCTACTAGGTCAACATAACTACAAACCTTAACTTGAAACTTTGACCCTGGTTACAGACCCTGCTTAGAACTTTTAACCCTAGCTTGAAACCCTCAACCTTACGTGAAACACTGTTTTGGATCCCCGATCCCTGCTTGAAACTCAAGCTACAAACCTTAATCAAGGATAGAAACCCCAATTTGAAAATCTGAATCTTAGAAATGCTATTTTAGAACTCTGCTTTGAAATGCTCAAGCTAGCTAGAAACACTGACTTACTTTCTGAACACTAATCTTGTCTTGAAACAAGGATTTACGCGATCAGGATTTTTGTGGTCGATCAGTTTTGAATATAAACTATTTTCTCTCACACATTCGATCAGACTATGAAGCAATATTTCTGTTTAAACAAGTTCTATATTTACTCTGCAGTCGACCCCCACCATCGTGAAAATGCACTGGAATAAAAATAATTAACCCCCCCCATTCTGAAAAAAAATGCTCATAAACATTAAATATTAAAAAAAAAAAATCCACGAACATTACCAGACATGAAGGTTGCCAGGGCTTTTGCTAAAGCGATTGCTATCTTGGTTCAACAGCTGTAAATAAGTCAATTCACTTACTGAAGAACTATGCCAAGTAGCCAACCTTTGCTCCTTTTTGACTTGTATTGGAAGCTGGCTGTGTTGTATAAGTCCTGGCTGCCACGAACGTCAGTGATTATTTCGCCGTTTTTGCTGACGTTTTACCTCGTTTATATGTTCCTTGTATGTGATAAAGTAGCACATTCTCAAAGCCGTGTGTGTGTGTGTGTGTGTGTGTGTGTGTGTGTGTGTGTGTGTGTGTGTGTGTGTGTGTGTTCATGCAGTTATGCAAGGCGCACAAGTATACAGGTATATTGCGCATATTAAGAATTAGTATAGTATAATTTTGAATGCATAAAGTGGGAAGATCATCTGGACTTTTATATCATTCACATTTCATTCGTAGATCACATGCTGAAAAAGATGCGGGCACCCCTGGTCTAGTGGCTAGCAGCTAGCCGCTAAGCGGTTGCTCAATATTGGCTTGCAAGAACCAATTGACAACTTTGCAAAGCCAATTTAAAAATCTTCACATTCCATGACTCCCCAAAACCCTTGCTTGATACTACTATAATTTACTTCGTCTCTGAAACTTATTTAAATTGATGCAATTGTGTGGTGCTCTGTGTTGCAATGTTGCAATAAAATGTTTGTTCCATTTCGTGTGACCCTGAGTTACACTTTGAACTTTGAGCCCACACGTAACATGATTTATTTCCCTCAGAGTTATCTTTGTCACGCTGACGCAAGGCAAGTTATTCCCCTCAGTAGGAATCATCACTACTGTCACACGAGTGCGATTGTTTCTGTCAGAGATTTTCTCGGACAAAGTTAAAGAAATGACTCGGCACACAGGAAAATTGTCTTCAATATCGGCGGGAGCGGATCTCTGAGAGCGAACGACGGTAGTTGCTCCGATGATCACAGACTCGAGCTCCCTTCCCGCCAATTCCGACTTTTATTGTAACATACAAGGAAAACACTGCCCCCGACATTTGCATACCGCACCCCCGGTCCGGCCCCTCGGTAGTGATTGGTTACCTGAGTTTAAGCTTTGAACCACCAGTACATTGGCGCCTTTCTGTCTGGTCCACACTGTATCAACATGTTGCAGACTTCGCGGACGACAAATGTCGCCTGGGCGCGACGGGTGTTCTCAACTCGTCTTTTGTTGTTCAACCGCTGTTCCCAAATTATTCATTCCCCTTTTGTGACCGAGTTTCGCCCCCTCCCCTGTGATTGCCCACCTGCATTGACGTGCTAATTGTGGACTTCAACAGCCCTCCGGCCAGGTGGCCGGCGCCTTTGTGCACAGGCATTTGGAAGTGCTGGATACGCGCCCAAACGTTTAGATGTCGCAAAATTAAATGAAACTTTAAACATGATACAATTTTGCTCATAAATTCCTCTAACAATATCACAAGAAAAGCCCCCCAAAACCCGGAGTATTCACTGTGACATGGCACTCCCTCCACCATATTCATCCTCTTCCTCTTCTTCATTCGGCCCTCCAGTCAGTCATCCATGCTCACTAGCGTCCGCTTCTTGCGAAGGTTACCCTGCCCTATTTTGAGGAGTCAAATATAGGACGGCAAAAAAAAAAAAAGAGAACCAACTACTTCATAATGATCTGCGCTGTCGTCTGCCGGGTTTGTTGCTGTTAAATAGATTTAAAAATATTTCTTTTTAAAAGTGGGTCGAACAGCTTTGATATGTATCCCTCGGCCAGCACTGCGGATGTGAAAAATGATATGAGCCGCGAGCAAGTGGGACAGCACATGTATGATTTACTGATAGCTGGCAGTGGTCGTTATCAGTGAACAGAAAACTGAATGAATTCAGCACACTAGTCGGTCATTACTATTAAAAGGACATTATGGTAAATCCAATTGATTGATCAGCCATTCCCAAATTGAGTGAAGAGCCAGGTAACATCATCACAATATTAGAAAGGTAAGCTTAGAACCTGGGGAATTTTAATGCTGTAACATGTTCCACTTGACCGGGTCAGACATGCAAAATGCAGCTTGTTCGTCACCACTGCGGTCACTTCTGTTTATTCATAGCCAGCAGCGGCAGGTGTTGGTCTGCTCATGGACTCAACGTGTGTAGGAATGCATAACGTCACCTCACTACTTTATTGTCGATGAAGACACATATATGAGAAGCTCCTCAGGGACCAACATGGCATCACTTTCACCCCATGGAAATCCTACCCTGTGTTCTTTTTAGGCAGCATATGGACAATTGTCATGAATCATTGCAACAGCACAGTTAATGCGATTTTATTTTTCATCCATCCTTCCATCCATCCATCCATTTTCTACCGCTTATCCGGGGTCGGGCCACGGGGGCAGTAGCTTTAGCAGGGAAGCCCTGACTTCCCTCTCCCCAGCCACTTGTTCCAGCTCTTCCCGGGCTTATCCCGGGACGTTACTATTTGTATAATTGGATTTTCTTCTTGATATTAAAAGAAAAAAAGAGTGAAACAGAATGTACAACATCGCATTTCACCATCGTTGGTTCCCATGTCAGATTTGATCCACTGCACCAATGAGATGAACGTGAACATTCCCCAACTGGCCGACTCGTTGTTTGAACGGACCACCAACACAAGCTGGGTGGTCGTGTTCAAGTCGCTGATCACCACACACCACCTTATGGTATATGGCAACGAGGTGAGTCTCACACGTGCACATGCACACACATTGTGTCAGATAATCTCACTACAACCCAGGCAACTGATGTCACGCAGATTACGATTGCATGTATGATTAGATTAATATTTTTTAGTGATGTATCTCCCTTCCACTCCGACCCCCCCCCCCCCCCCCCCCCCACCCTCCCCCCCTTTTCTTACCTTGCTTCGAGGAACACATTATTCAACCTCAGTAATTTCTTGGACAAAAGTGGCCTGCAAGGTAACCTCAGCACCTCACTCTGCAAACTTTCATTTTGTATGATGTGAGTGACGCATGTCCATTTTTTTCCTCCAGGGTACGACATGTCCACGTTCATCCGGAGGTACAGTCGATACCTGAACGAGAAGGCCGTTTCGTACAGACAGGTTGCCTTTGACTTCACCAAAGTTAAGCGAGGGTAAGACATTCAAGGTGATGTTCTTCTGTCCTGCAATTTGGAGATACCTTTTTTTTTTTTGGACAAAAGCAGCATTGCATACAAACGGCAGTAAACTGCAAAGTAGAGAACGCATTATAATGTGCACTTGTCCATAACACAGAAGCTTCCTATTTGTTTCTTTAACTACCTTGATAGCGTGTAATCGCAATGTTGCCAAGCTATAAATCATATTTTCTTAAGGTAGCCATGGGAAGATGTGGATAAATGTGCTTGTGTTTATTTTTGACTATTTGTTCAATAGTGATTTTTGCTTCAACATTTTTTTGTAGTAGAATTATTTGAGTTGGATCATTTCAACCCTAACATAATGTTGCCATGTTTTTTATTGTCAGCCACCATTTTACAAACCCAAATCCAGCACATCGCAATGTCAACTTCGACGACACTGTACTCATCACATCTGCTCTGCAGACACACACAGCTATTTCAGACTTCATAAACCCTTTTTACGCATCAATTTTGCACATTTGGCAGTATTGGCCTGGTGTTAAACAGGTATTGTGCATTCAGGCAACAGCTAGCTGAAAATTCCATCTCCCCCACATTCCATGCTGATGCTGTTGAAACACGACAGCGACATGGAAAAATGCCACCTCTTACAGGCACCGCAAAAGGGGCTACAGTCAAGCCATCTCTTACAAGGGTGCCTATTTGAAGTGCATTGTTTATTTGTTCAAGCGGACAACACACATGGCAACTATTCAAAGCAGAAGATACTATTTGTGTCGCTGTCTTGCGGTGTCTACTGATGGTCCCCCTGTGTCCTGACAGAGTGGACGGCGTCATGCGGACCATGAATACAGAGAAGCTGCTGAAGACCATCCCCATTATTCAGAACCAGATGGACGCCCTCCTTGATTTCAATGTGAGTCGGAGGTGAAGCCCCCTATGGTGTTGCAGCTTTAAAAAAGTAAAGGCTTGGGGGTTGTGTATGAGGCTGCTGCATAGATGCATTCTCTCAGCCACAAAAAGATAAATGTCAGGCGTGTGTGCAAACCATGGCTGATTGCTTTCCCGCAGGTCAATGCCAACGAGTTGACTAATGGGGTCATCAATGCAGCCTTCATGCTCCTTTTCAAAGACTCCATCAGACTCTTTGCCGCCTATAACGAAGGCATCATCAACCTGCTTGGTAAGAAAAAGCCTCACCTTCCCCTCCAGATAGTCACACCAACATTTAATCCTTACCTTTTTCACTTAATAGAGAAATACTTTGACATGAAGAAAACCCAGTGCAAAGAAGGGCTGGATATCTACAAGAAGTTCCTCACCCGAATGACCCGGATATCAGAGTTCCTCAAAGTAGCTGAGGTACATTGGTGGTTTACAGGCTGGTTGTTGGCTCTCATGCAGGACGGGGGGAAAAAAAACAACTAATTTGTCTTACTCTGTGCTCAAACAGCAGGTGGGCATTGACCGAGGAGACATTCCAGACCTTTCCCAGGTAAGCTTGCAAGCTTCTCGCGCTCTCTCTCTCTTGTTCGGTCTATGTCTCTCTACCACTGTCTTTCTTGTTTTCTCTCTCTCGCTCTCTCGCTCTCAGATAAATAAAACAACAGAGATAAATAAAATTACCTACCAATGTATACACTCACTGGCCACCATGTTCGGGACTTATGCATAAAGGAGGTCCAGTACAAATGCTGTATCAGAAAAAGTGACTTCACAAGAGCAGTCTCCCATTTTGTTTGATGCTGTCGGAGTGGTATTTTTGTTTGCAGTTTTTAGTGGCACTGCACTTGATGTCACTGAGGGCTCTTTCTAATACCGGGTTTTTCCTGCTGGAAATTCAACAGAAGTCTCTTTCTTTTACGGGAAACATACCTTAAGCTAAGAGTTCCAATTAGAATATGACTACTATCGTGTTAAAACATTTGGTTATTAAAACAAGCATAATAAAGGCCTCTTCTCAAATCCGCAAACTCTTGGGTAAGGATTCATAAGTGCACTCACAAGTACTGCAATGTGGAAAGCGCAGTGTAAAAAAGCAATGCACAAGTTAGCCCTGCAGTGGATGACTTGAAGCGAGCTAGCAAAACTAACGGGGCTAACATCACCCGGCCATAAGTCAGAAGTGAGGCTCGTGTTCTTATTTCCTTCTGTATGGATATGCAGAAGCATGACACCTTTTGTTCCAGAAGATAGCGGCGCCTCTGAAGCCTGAACCGTACGCGACGAGTGGTTTAGTCGCACACAAAAGTCAACGGTGCTAAAAGATTGGTCGCCAAGCGCCCATGACACTTCAATTGTGAAATCAGACCACATCGTTTGAGCCCTTGGCTCCTCTCTGGCAAAATGGCATCATCCTCAAGTTCCACTTTTCCTTTCTTGGTCAGCTCAGCCGTCTTCGTTGGCTTTCAGAACGCAGTCATATCCGTGACATTTGAGATGCTTCTTTTAAGACTAACCAACTATTTTGGCTACCTGTGAGCAAAATGGCCACCATTGGGAGTGCTCTCTTCTCTCTGCACTTTGCATGCTTCCCCCCTTGAGCGCATGCTTCCACAGGAGGTGCTCTCTTACATGTTTTTTCTTCTTATTCCTTAAGCGTTCCTTTCTCTCTTCTTCTGCTGCTTTTTCGTCAGCATCCCCTTTTACAGTACAGTAAATAAAGGTGTCAGGTTCACTCAAAGGTTGCAGTCTAGTCACAGTCGCACATTGACGGCGAAGGTTATACACAATACGTGTACCGTAGGTGCTGTGCTGTTGGCCGTTTATTTGCTGTGCAGCTCAAAAGGATTCATCCCCTGACTGTCACCACCTTTATATTCTGTATTCTCCCCTTATCTTTCCACTTCAGTTCACAGTCTGTGTAAGTACTATCATTTCACTCTTCCATGTGTGTGACTTGCTTTGCTGGTGTTGTCTTTTTGCATGCCTCTGCGCCGTCTCACACGTCCGTCCATCAATTTTCCGATCCGCTTTATCCTCACAAGGGTCGCGGGGGCTGCTGGAGCTTATCCCAGCCGTCTTTGGGCAGTAGGCGGGGGACACCCTGAACCGGTTGTCTATGTGGTGACTTTTCTCATAATGAGGTGTACAATCAGAGTAGCTCATTTACTGTAAAATGGCTGCCCTGTTGTGCTTAGTTGTGGCCCATTTCAACAACCTGCCGCAGGTTGTTGAACATCCTTTGGTATAGTGCGTCATCCCATACACATGTTGCTCCCATGCAGAGTAAGTGTATGGCTGGAATGCAGTCATTGGTGCATCAGTGGTGGGCAACTACAGGTCTATGTTGAACCCTCAAGTCACAGAAAATAAAATCATATACAGTGGTATTACAAGGGTTGACTCAAATCAACATTTCACATTGAGGATAATTATATTTGGAATATTTCTTAATAGAGTCCCTACTGTCACCATCATCAAACCTTTGCTAACTGTACAGGCATTGTTTTAGGTAAAATATTTACGGGTATATATTTCTAGTGCTTGTCTATCTTCGGGTTGCTGGTGAGTTGGTGCCTATCCCAGCTAACTTTGGGCAAGAGTTGGGGTACACCCTGGACAAGTGGCCAGTCAGTAGCAGTGCATATACACTATATGGGCAAGCAACCACTGACATTCACCTTCAATTTGGTCTTCAGTTAACCTAAAATGCATTTTTTTTAGGGGGGAAATAAACAGAATACCGGGAGAAAGCCTACAAGCAGAGGGAAAATAGATATTATTCAAACCCTGAACCTCATAACTGTGAGCCAGACATTCCAACCATAACCCACTATGCCACACTGAAAGTTTTGTCGGACACAGTTACTTTGATCGTGTGAGTCCACTTACCTCACGGAAAATTCCAGTTAGTCTTTCGGTGCTGGCTGTGAAATAAGATCTTTTGAGGTGCCCAGACAGGTTATGTTAATTCAATGTTAGATTTTTTTTTCAGGGGGGGCCTTTAAGGGATATTTTTCCTAAAAATGTTGTTCAATCTACAAATTGTATACACTTGAAGTTGCTTGACTTTGGAGGTTCCATTGTATAAAAAGGATGGTTTATATCCTGTTCTCGCTTGGTTGCCCACCACTTTCCTTCATGGTGTCAATGACACACACACACACACACACACACACACACACACACACACACACACACACACACACACACAGTCATGCGGTGCATGAGCAGAGTGCTGACTTTGTGTTTTCTTGCCGTGACAGGCTCCCAGCAGCCTCTTGGAAGCTCTAGAGCAGCACTTGGCCTCTTTAGAGGGCAAAAAGGTGAAAGACTCCACAGCAGCCAGCAGGTATGTTAATTTGGCCATCGTAGTCCGTTTCCTCGGGACCGCCATGATGTGTCGCCCGCACCCCAGCATGAGTCTGTCCGTCCCACAGGGCCAGCACTTTGTCCAATGCCGTGTCGTCGCTGGCGAGCACGGGAATGTCTTTCACGAAAGTGGATGAGCGGGAAAAGCAAGCAGCACTGGAAGAAGAACAGGCCCGACTCAAAGCACTGAAGGTGAGTCAATTTTGGTGACCTTATCTCAAGAATCGCTTTCCAGCCTCTCTGCTTTATCCTGATGCGCATCATTTCTCGTGCAGGAACAAAGACTCAAGGAGCTCTCCAAGAGGCCCTCCTTTGCCACCACCGATACGTCGCCCATTTCCACCACAGGGGGAACTATTAACACAGCTCCGGCCATTGACCTATTCTCCACACCGAGCTGTTCTAACGGGTAACTTAAAATTGTAATGGAGCTGCAGACGGGAAATGATGATTAAAGTGCAATTAATTTAAATATGCCGCAACTTTTGCACTTTGCATTTCATCACTGTTCTATGAACAGCCTGCACCTCAAATCAGCTTTTCATTGAACAGCGACAGTAGATATTTTATGCTGTAACTTTGTTTTGGAGCAACGCAAAAAAAATCGTTTTTGTATTCCTGAAAATCTGACTTTGTGGACATGCGTTATTTTCATTAAAATGACTTGGTGTTATCTACGTCAATACCACAGTATGATTTTCATGTATTGTGTGCATACTGTTCTCACTGTCCATGGTGGTAATAGTATCTCCAAAGTGTCCTTTGTAATGCATAAAACAAACAAATTTCCTCCATGTTTTGGATTAAAAAGAGAGACTCATAATTTAATACACAGGAACAATCATCGCACCCCGTACTAATGATCCTTTCCTGTATTATCTTTTATCACACGAGGAGGTAGAATGTTGTTTATTTTTTATACGTGCATGGATAATTCATTATTTTATGTATCCAGTGCAGTGAAAATGGAGAGCGACCTATTTGACCTTCAGTCCACGTTCCAGCCACCCATGCAGTCCGCCTCGTCAGGGCTCCCCGTGGCGACGGCGTGGGCAGGTAGAGAGCGCCACCGACGCAGCTCTTGATCGCTACATGTGTCTTTTTATTTTATTATTTTTTTAACTGCTCTGCATGCTCTCTCTTCTGATGTCCACCAGTTCCTCTCCACTTGTTTTTGGTCTGTTTCATTTTCTCCTCTCTTTCTCTCTTTGGCTCTTCCGCTGTTTCTCTTTGCCTGCCTTTAGATCCTTTCACCTCTGCCGAAGCTGGAGATGACTCCATGCCAAACCTTAACCCTTTCCTGTCAAAACTCGTTGTCGATGCCTCTCACTTACCTGCCGTGTCTTCAGACGGTGTTAGCTTTTCCACTAGGACATCTGCTCATGAAATGTTTGGTGGTAATGACTCTCATTTTGTTTTTTCCCCATTGTCTTCACTCATGTGCTGTTGATGTAGAAGCATGATGTAGTTTGCTTGTCCTCTATGCTGCTGTTGTCTGAATGTTACCAGTGTACTTGTTGTCTTTGAAGCTGAAATCCCCCAGTTCCCAGTGAAAACTTGTTCCTCCTCTTTATCAAGATGTCATTCAAGGCCGAATGCCCACCTGATTTAAAATTATCCCTCCCATCCACCCAATTCCCTTTTTTGATTAAAAGTTTGGTTCTGTGATGTGTTGCTGTAGTGTAGAGCTTCTAAGTATTTTTTTTCTTTTACTAATACTATGTTTGATTCCCTAGATCGTTACAATCCCTTTATTGACACAAACTCGTCAGTTTCAGCCAATAATAAATGCACAGTGCGGCTAGAACACTCTATCTCAGGTACTACAATGGTTCTGAGTCCTGCAAACATTGGATCCTATACAATACTCCATTAATTTTAATATTCAGTCACACCTTCCCATTTCCAATAACATTCGCTAATATTTCACACTTTTGGGAACATTAAAATGTTAACTGCATTTTTTTTCCTGCCTGCTTGTTTGGCTAGTTCCTGAGACACTTTTTTTTTCCCCCCTCTGGTTCTTTCTCTCCTTCTTATTCTTAACGCTTCCTGTGGCGTGTCAGACTCCTTCTGTGGCCCAGTGTCCATTGCCCAGCACCTCCCACACCAGGCTCCCTTCCCCACAGAGCCCTCTACTGTAGCAGGTCTATTCAGAGGTATTGAAGGCTCTCTCTGTATCGATGTGTGAATCCCACTCCACTGTTAGCTGACCCCCCTCACCCCCATGCTTGTAGAACTGAGTCTCGTTTTGAGAGGCATCACTTGTCTTAACCGCAGCTGCCTTCTTTTTATCTTTAAGGATACTCAACGCCTCAGCCCCCTCCCCAGCCACCTGCAGGAGGTCTCCAAGTGGACTTTGAGTCTGTGTTTGGAGCCAAAGCTACTGGCAGCAACAGCCTCAATGCTGAAGGTTTGTCCTTAATGTCGCCAATGGATTTGCCTCATGCATTTACATCGAAGTATGTAAGCAACTTGTGTGGGTTTGTCCTATTGTTTCTACCAACTGCTTTAGTTAGCGGGATGGGATGAAAAACACAATCAGCTTCCATGACAAGTCACAAAACTCATTCAAGTTTGGTGCACATCCAAATAAAAATGTTCATGTCCCGTCATTTGCTACTTCGTTCCTGTGATGTTTCTTGAAGCAGGCTGATCCCTAACATATGGACTTCTGACAACAAAAATACAGAGAATTTCCTTTTTATATCATGATGCCAATTCATCCTCACTGTGGTACATTACAGTCATACTGGTATGATTCACGTTCCAACTTGACTTCATACACCTGTAATGTGTGGAGGTGTGTTGCAGGGAACAGAATAGCCATGAGGAGATTGCATCCTCATGCAAATTTATGGCCATTTGCCGCCATCTTGTGATCACATAATATTACTACATTGAGAGAGAGAGCACTCACAGGAGATCCTAATATGTAATACCTACCCTGATGAGGTTTTGCTGTTTCGGTGGGTGCCAGTATTTATCGTGCTCCTAACAACCAACATAATTTTACGTTGTATATATGATTTATAGGGTAGCAAAAAAGTGACTTTGTTTTTAGCCTGTCTGCCTTACAGTTGTGATGTGCGCATTTCCATCCCTGTTCTGGGCTACCTGTGTAGAGTTTGCCAATTCTTCCCATGCCTGCATAATTTAATCTCCAGGTACTCTATCCCACATGTCAAAACAAGCATTGCAGTTTTATTGGAGAGGGTCCAGCTCACCTGTGACCAGGGATGTGTTCCTCGAGCCTGTCCTTGGCCTCGAGGACCGGCTCGAGGACCGAAGGTCGGTCCTTGGTCCTTGGCCTTGGCCTTGAGAGTCAATTCCTTGGCCTTGGCCTCGGCCTTGGGAGTCAAGTCCTTGGCCTTGGCCTTGGCCTCGGGTTGCCGGTCCTCGGACACAATGAGGGATTAGAGCCTCGATGTCCACAGGTAATAAGTGGGACCGAGGGTCGCAAAAACCACGTAGGAATCAAATAAATTCCATTCATCGAAACGCATATTGATGGGTTAAGCTGGCGCTTTAAAAGGGGCGGGTCTGCCACTGACAGGCGACATTTAGCGCAACGATAAAGAGCGGCACACAGTTTCAATCACGGTTTGTTCCGTTCGCGATCAGCAGTTTAAATAGCGTGTAAAGTCTTTCTGTAACAGTGGTGTCTTTTATGTAGTTATTTTTGCACAGTCGTCACGTTTCTGCGGTGGCACTA